CGCACGACAAAACATTGTAGTGTTCCAGCTGCCGGCATCTGTAACTGGGAAATTTCTGGCGTCGTTTTCTTATCAGTTCGTTAACACGCAGCGCTAATAATAGTAATGGTTAGATTCACTTATAACTTTCGAAAACTCCCCCCTTTTCCCATCATACGCCTGATTGAAAAAATATATCGATTATATCATTCTAGCAAAAGCTATTAAACTCCCGCTCTGGTTACCTCCGTTGGAGGAGATTTTGGATGAAGGCTGTCAATTATCTCAAATTTCTAGGTATGTTTATTAATTAGGCATGTTTTAGACATCTGAAATTCATAAGGTATATTTTTGTCTGGTTTAAGTAGAATATAAATAGCCAACGCAAAGCTGCTTGCGAAAGACAAACCTGATAATCCTGGTGCCGGAAAATGTCCGTAAACGTAACCGGCGTAACGATGAATGGAACACAGTCCATGTCGACTTGCTTCAACTCCACAGCAGTAAGAATTGGTTGCACCTTTGCTTACTGTCTGCTAACTGTTGTGTCACTGGCTGGAAATACCTTCATTGGAATCATTGTCTATAGGACTAAAACTCTGAGAACACCAATCAATTTTTTGATGGTAAACATGGCCATGTCCGATCTGTTGTATCCAATTATATTCTTTACGACGAGGTTGACAGGGATATACAAGGCCGGCCACTGGTTGATCAGTGGTCCCCTTGGGCAAGCCTTGTGTAAGCTGAGTGTCTTCGCTGGAGATGTCTCAACTCTTGTGTCAGTTCAGAGCCTGGTGCTGATAACAGTGGATCGATTTGTAGCTGTGGTATTTCCCCTCCGCTCCCCATCGATCAGCTCAAGGCAGGGCTGGTTCTCCATTATCGCCATTTGGATCGTTGCTATGGCAGTCCATTGCCCATACTTATTCGCCTTCAAAGTTGTCGAGTATTCAGACGGGCTGGTTTGTTGGTTGCAGTGGAATGACACATTTGGAGAGTCCTCGTATGAAGGCTACTTTCTGGGAATAATTATTGTTGTCGTCTATGTCCCTTTGGTGTCGATTGCCATACTTTACTTCGCCATCGCCTTAACAATTAAATTCCAGAAGAGTCCAGGCGAGCAATCAGCAAATGTAAGAAAACAGCACTTGAGGAGAGAGAGAAAAGTTCTGAAGCTGTCCATTGCCGTCGTGTTAGTTTTTGCTGTATGCTGGCTGCCATTCAGTATCATGGTCCTCTTCCTTCTCTTTTCCTTAGACAGCGCCATGATATCATCTTGCAGTTTCCAATACTAT